AGGTTGACGCTCTATGAAGGAAAACACCATCCTGGCTGAAGTGAGCCTGATTAAACCTACTTTATCCTCAACTGTAGCGTTGGGATAGCTTCTTAATTGGAAGTCAAGGTCGTGCAGATAGGCCTTAGTGTCGGTCGAACCCAACGGCCCCGGCTCAAAGCGTTGGACATACTTCGCAATTTTATGCAATTCCGCTATTGAGAGCAGAGGCTGAGGAATTGTTGTTGTTGGAACAAAATAATCACGTGGAGGTGATTCACCAGACTCAAGTTGAGGTGGCAGAAGGGGATTATGTGTAGGAGGTACTGCAAAATCCTTCTGAGGTGGTAGTGGATGACCTGGACTCTGACCCAGTTCGTCTTTGAGTTCCAGACATCCTTGCCCCTCGTCAGAGATTTTATTTGTGGCTGTGGGAAGTTTTGTCTCACAGGCTGCTAAGCGTTCACGTGATGTATGTCACTCACTTTGTAAATGCACGCCTTGTTGGACTAACGCCGCTTTTTCCAATCTGCACTCGTCCAGAGCTTTTGACGTGAGCTGCAACTGTTGGTGCAGAACATCATTGTCTGAACACAGTGCTTCGTACTTAATCACTCCTTCACATAGCTTTTCCTCATATGAATCTGCTTGTAACAACAGCTGAGCTTGTGAGACCTCTTTTTCACGTTTCAATTCATTTTCCCAGGTCTCTTTATCAAACTTAAACTGTGCCATGAGGTTTAGATACTCCTCACGTGTTGTTTTGCGGTCCTCTGTCTCACATTTCAACCTTATTGCAAGGTCTTCTGCCTTGTTGGCCTCAATATAAAATTTAGCTTTCAGTAAGAGTGCTATTTTAGCTAGTTGTTCATAGCCTGACTTTTTTATGGCTGCAGAAGTTACACTGTCTGCAACTTCCTTCAGCTCGTCCAATAACTCTGTTGAGGTCATGCTGTCCACCTGTTCACCATATGGATATAAGGAATCTGTGATCAGCCTCGTTAGGGCTGTCTCAAGCCAGTCCTTTTTATCACATAGAGCAACATTATCAATCAACCTTTATTTAGACAGGTAAATCCCATTGAGCCTCGGGGACTCATTTACAAGAGAGACCTGATTTCAACAAAGGAAGATGACAACAATGGACAATAGCAACAACAATAAACAATTATAAAAAGTCATACTGCAGGGTTGTTTTTTTTTTTTTTTTTACAAATAGGATGGCTAAAAGGAAAAGGTAACAACAACAAAAAAAAAGCTAGATTCTAAGGCGAATGTAGAAACCTAAAAACAGGAACATGTCTGCATTGGTCCCTGCCAGGGACCAATGTTAAATGTTAAAATGTCTGTTAAATCTGCCATGTTTATCCACTGTTCAGCAAAACCTATCTGGTTAAACCGTCGCAATCTTAGAGTTTTTCAACAGGTAAACGTTTGTATTTAAGTGAGCAGTGAGTCTCACACACTATTTTAGCTCTGGGTTTCATCAACAGTACTGTTATAAGCCAATTTTCAATAAATGGGCCCCTATGTTCAGGCCTTACCCCATAAATATTGTAAGTAAACGCTTCCTGTGGCAGTGTTACCTAATATGAGCTTATTCTAACAGATACAAGAGCCAGGCTATGTCAGTGTTTATTTACTCAAATGCACTTAAAATTAATAAGCCTGCAATATTTTCTAAAAAGTCTGACAGCAACTTTGTAGTTTTAAATGCTCTCAAGCATTTTATTTGACCCGAATTTGCTATTTAAACAGTACACATAAACCAGGCGTGATTAACAAAAAAAAAATTATAATGAAATGAGTGCGCATCTTTCTTTCTGGAAAACTGTTATACTCTTTTTCAACAGCAGGTGGCAGTGTAAGCTTACTTTAACCGGTAGGAGTCACTGACGACTTCCTATGAACCTTACTGTTGACATCCGGTTGTAAGCCGTTAGTTACGATGTAGCAACGGTCGGACACGGTTCAAATCAGCATTTATGGACGGATTTAAAGCTTTTAACGTGGCGTCGCTTTACAAGCACGCTCTTTCTGCATGTACTCATGAGTTTAGGAACGCATGTCAGGGCTTTATTCAGCTTTTTTAAACACAAAGGAAGACTCCGTTAAAACGAGCTTCATTTCCCGGTTCACGTGACTTCACAGACACGTGAACATCGGGGGTGGGCTTTTCGCACTGATACCAGAGTGAGTGGACGTGCACGGTGTTACGTCACTAGCTTCTCAGCGAATCAGAACGTCCCCGTGTGTGTGTGGTCATTGGTAGTGCATGGTGGTAGTCGGGGGCGTGGCTTCGCTTTGACGGGGTGCTGGCTGGTCGGCCTGATGTGACATTCGCGGTGGGGGTGCTGTGTGGGGGGGTGCATGGGTGGCATGCCGGGGCCTCTCTGGGCCTGTGGTGTGGGGCTGTAGGGATAGCCTGATCATTGGTGCGCTGGGCCGGCCTTCCTCAGCTGCTGCTCTGGCCCCCGGCCAGGGGCCGGCTTGCGGTCAATGTCGGGTGGGTGGGGCACATGGACGGCCCAACAGAGGCTCTGTTGGGCTGTCTCTGTGTGCCTGTTTATGTCTCGGGTTGGGTTTTAGGTGGTCCCCTCTCTTGGATCAATTTTGGCCCTCCATTTAATGTGGGGTCAACTTCCCCCTGTCGTGCTCCCCTCCGGTGGTGCCCCCCCCCCCCTGCAACCGGTGCATTGTCGGCTCTCAGCAGATGGGGGTGGGGTGTGTGGGCCCGCCCTGGTGGCTGCCTGCCGGGGCCTGGGTGCCCTGGCTTTGTTGGGCCTCTGATGGGGGGTGGTATGACCTCTGGGCTTGGTCTCCATGGCCGGATCTACTCTGGAGGGGCGGGTTGCGGGCGGGGCCTGTGGACTCGTCACTGCAACCTCCTGGGGTTTCTGCATTGTGGTTACTGGGGATCACCCGGGGCTTCCCTTTTCTTCTCTCTCTGGGGGGTGCAGGTGTCCCTGTTGGCTGACTCCCGGAGTTCCGGGCTTGTGGACCGCTGTGTGTCTGTGGTTCCGGTTTTCCCTGTGTTGCCATTGTGTCCTGGGGGACGGGTCTGTGGGTCCCCACATCCACTATTGAACATTTTTATGGAGAAACCTTATACTGACAAGCATGCTTACACAGGTGTTTAGATCCAGGTGTTTATCAGATACACACTCAGTTGGGTTGTGGTGGCTACTACATATATCTTGTATTACTGTGTACTGTATAAAATACTTTCTAATGATGTTATAAGTATCATTATATATGTTGTTTGTTGTTGTGGTTGCTCGATTTTGTCTTGTTTTTGTTAGTTTTTTTCCACAGGTCTAGAGGCAGACTTCAATGATGTTGATTTGTGTTCTCTTTATCCCTCTCTCCTCTATTCCTATCTCCTTCTTTACCTTTTAACCCTTCTCTCACTTTTCTGCTTTATCTTCTTTGTTTTTCATCCCCATGTCCTTTACATCTGAAACAAGCCCAAAGCAAATTCTAATAAAATTTAATTTATATATCAAGTGGAGCATTAAGGCCAGCCATAATGCTCTGCTTGTGAAAGTAAATCTTTTGGGCATCACTTTGACACTCAGACAATAATTCCAAGTGTCACAATGCTGGACAGGGGGTGGGGGGGGGGTGTATTATTCATTATTTTAAAGATTACTCCCCACCTCCCCTAGTTATCTTGTGCTATTTATGAGTTTTTAGAACTACTGATAACTAAAATGTTGGACTTAAAAAAAAAAAAAAAATTGTCTCCAAATAAATTTTTTTTTTGAGAGAGAGCTTAGAGCGATGTGCATTCCTGTGACATGGGATGCAATTCTCTGCAGGCATGCGTTTCTCAGCATAACACAAGCCTGTGGTTTCTGACTGCTAACGTGAGCTAGCATTACTGGCTCTATGCAACTCACGGGTGCTCGCCTGGCTAGTTAATGGTTTTTCAAAGGCACAGAGTCGAACTTCCAGATCAGACAGCCTCTCCTCCAGAACCAGCACATGAGAACATTTGTTACATGTATCATTATCTTCAAAGGAAGTATGCTATCTGGCACAATGGCCCGAAGCCCTGTTAAGCTAAGGCTAGCGAGAACTAGCAGATCTCAATACACTGATAAAACTAAAAGTCCTGAAAGATAAAGACCACGGTGGAATAAGTACAAAGTTAGCGTGATCAAGCGATGTGGATCCAATGCAGACAGTCTCTCAGCGGTCATATACCATTTAAAACAAGGGTGACTCGCCAGATTGATAGCTTTGTGTTAGTTAGTGGTTAGCGCAGCACCGTAGGGTCACGTAGCTCAAAGAAAACACTTAAAATAAAGCGTAAAACCAACAAACGACCAGCATACGACACTAACAAACAGTTTAAAGAAAAGAAGAAAACAGTTCATAGTACGTACGAATCGTGTAACGTGTTATTTCTCTCCAAGCAACCAGAATTTCCACTTTCACCCCCTTTCCATCTGCACAAACAAGCACATATTAACAGTTTTAACAGTTTACTTACAGTGCAAGAAGTTAACAATCTGCCGAAGGAGATGTTTCTCTGTCGCTGGCGTTGCATGCCTGCATCCCACTCCGCCACCGCAACCAAAGAACAGTTTAAAAAGAGTGCGTAAGATGAGCATATCCGCTTAGAGGGCGTATCCAAATTACACTGGCAGTTTAAAACGAGCACGCCACATATGGTGTGCTGACCCACAGCGGGTCTGTTGTTTTTGACAGTGGAGGGGGTCGGTCAGTGCCGTACCTTAGCGGCTTGGGTAAGGGTCCGCCCCGGAGGGGTGATTGCTTGATCCGTAAGGTGGACCTGAGCGGTCTGGGGGTGGGTCCGGTTCGGAGTCCACTGCTATCTGTGAAGCATTTCATTACATTGTTGACCTTGTGTTGATTTTGCATATGACCAATAAATCTAACCTAACCTAAAGGGGAATAAATTGAAACAATTTCACTCAAACTTGTTTTTTAAAAGATTTTTAATCCCATGTAAACATGTTCTTTACTTTGTGTTCTTTAATCGTGGACTTTAGATTGGATCAGATGTTCAGCGACGCCTTCAGTAAAGACCACCAGCTGATCCGAGCCAATCCAAAACACAACCTCTATTTGGCTTGTGCGCTTATGTTGAGGGGCAATGTGCAGGTCTCTGATCTCCGCAGGAACATCGAAAGGTCAGAGAACCATCCCCTTTACACACACACACACACACACACACTAAAGGGCACCTGCATACTCCATCCAAAGTGGCAAAATCGATTCTCATTGATGTAGTTGCATGATGAAAATTGTATCATTTTGTTCTCAGAGTACGTCCGCTCATCCCTACTCAACACATGGCCCAGGCCAAATTTTTCTCACAGGCCTATGCGCCAGGTGTTGTGTGATTGGTCAGGAGTTTATGGGCGAGTTCGTCAATGCAGAAATGCACTCATTCATATGTATGACTCTTCAAACACACTAAATTTGTCAAATGGTCAAAAACTCTTCGATAGAGATTGGGCAGACTGTGTATGGAGGAGGTGTAGGTGAGGGACCAGACAAAGTGCAGCCCAAAGACCCCGATGACGAGACAAATAAATGGACCTAGTGTTCCCTTGACTCGACGTGGGTCACCTGGGCCCCACTCTGGAGCCAGGCCTGTAGGTGGGGCACGCCGACGAGCGCCTGGTGGCCGGGCTTTTACCCATGGAGCTCGGCCGGGCACAGCCCAAAGAGGAGACGTGGGTCCCCCTTCCCATGGGCTCACCACCTGTGGGAGGGGCCAAAGGGGTCGGGTGCAATGTGGGATGGGTGGTGGCCGAGGGCGAGGACCCTGGCGGTCTGATCCTCGGCTACAGAAGCTGGCTATTGGGACATGGAATGTCACCTCACTGGTGGGGAAGGAGCCTGAGCTGGTGTGTGAGGCTGAGAGGTTCTGGCTAGAAATAGTCGGACTCACCTCTACGCATGGCTCGGGCTCTGGAACCAGTTTCCTTGAAAGGGGCTGGACACTCTTCCACTCTGGAGTTGCCCCTGGTGAGAGGCGCTGAGCAGGAGTGGGCATACTTATTGCCCTCCAACTTGGTGCCTGTGTGTTGGTGTTCACCCCAGTGAAGAGAGGGTGGCCTCCCTCCGCCTACGTGTGGGGGGACGGGTTCTGACTGTCATTTGTGCTTATGTACCAAATGGCAGTTCAGATTATTCACACTTTCTGGAGTCCTTGGAGGGGGTACTGGAAAGTGCACCTCCTGGGGACTCCCTTGTTCTACTGGGGGACTTCAATGCTCATGTGGGCAATGACGGTGAGACCTGGTGGGGTGTGGTTGGGAAGAACGGCCCCCCTGATCTGAACCAGAGTGGTGTTCTGTTGTTGGACTTCTGTGCTCGTCATGGATTGTCAATAACGAACACCTTGTTCAAGCATAAGGGTGTCCATATGTGCTCTTGGCACCAGGACACCCTAAGCCGCAGTTCGATGATCGTCTTTGTCATTGTCTCATCTGATCTGCGGCCACATGTCTTGGACACTCGTGTGAAGAGAGGGGCAGAGCTGTCCACTGATCACTACCTGGTGGTGAGTTGGCTCCGATGGTGGGGGAGGATGTCGGTCAGACCTGGCAGACCCAAATGTATTGTGAGGGTTTGCTGGGAACGTCTGGCAGAGTCTCCTGTGAGATGGAGTTTTAACTCCCACCTCCGGGAGAACTTTGAACATGTTCCGAGGGAGGTGGGGGACATTGAGTCTGAGTGGACCATGTTTTGTGCCTCTTGTCGAGGCGGCTTACCGGAGCTGCGGCCGCAAGGTTGTCGGTGCCTGTCGAGGCGGCAACCCTCGAACCCGATGGTGGACACCCTCAGTGAGGGATGCTGTCAGGCTGAAGAAGGAGTTCTATCGGGCCTTTTTGGCCTGTGGGACCCCGGAAGCAGCTGATGGGTACCGGCACTCCAAGCGACATGCGGCTCGCGTGGTCGCTGACGCAAAAACTCGGGCATGGGAGGAGTTCGGCGAGGCCATGGAGAACAACGTCCGCACGGCTTCGAGGCGATTCTGGTCCGCCATCCGGCATCTCAGGGAGGGAAAGTGGTACACCACCAACACTGTTTATAGTGGGAGTGGTGTGCTGCTGACCTCAACTCGGGATGTTGTGGGTCGGTGGGCGGAATACTTTGAAGACCTCAATCCCACCGGCACATCTTCCACTGAGGAAGCGGAGCCTGGGGACTCTGGGTCGGGCCCTCCAATCTCTGGTGCTGAGGTCACCGAGGTGGTTAAAAAGCTCCTCAGTGGCAGGGCCCCAGGGGTGGATGAGATTCGCCCAGAGTTTCTTAAGGCTCTGGATGTTGTAGGGTTATGTGGACTTACGCGACTCTGCAATATTGCGTGGACATCGGGGGAAGTTCCCCTGGATTGGCAGACCGGGGTGGTGGTCCCCCTATTCAAAAAGGGGGACCGTAGAGTGTGTTCCAACTACAGGGGAATCACACTTTTAAGCTTCCCTGGTAAGGTCTATTTGGGGGTTCTGGAGACGAGGGTCCATCGGATAGTCGAACCTCGGATTCAGGAGGAGCAGTGCGGTTTTCGTCCTGGCCGTGGAACACTGGACCAGCTCTACACTCTCAGCAGGGTCCTGGAAGGTGCGTGGGAGTTTGCCCAACCAGTCTACATGTGCTTTGTGGACTTGGAAAAGGCGTTCGACCGCGTCCCTCGGGGGACCCTGTGGGGGGTACTCTGGGAGTATGGGGTACCGGGCCCTTTGATAGGGCTGTTAGGTCCCTGTATTACCGGTTTCAGAGCCTGGTCCGTATCGCCGGCAGTAAGTCGGGCTTGTTCCCGGTGAGAGTTGGACTCCGCCAAGGTTGCCCTTTGTCACCGATTCTGTTCATAACTTTTATGGACAGAATTTCTAGGCGCAGCCAAGGTGTTGAGGGGATCTGTTTTGGTGGCCTTAGGATTGCGTCTCTGCTTTTTGCAGATGATGTGGTCTTATTGGCTTCATCAGATTGTGATCTACAGCTTTCCCTGGAGCGGTTCGCAGCCGAATGTGACGTGGCCGGGATGAAGATCAGTTCCTCCAAATCCGAGGCCATGGTCTTGAGCCGGAAAAGGGTAGAGTGCCCTCTCCGGGTCAGGGAGGAGGTCCTACCCCAAGTGGAGGAGTTCAAGTATCTTGGGATCTTGTTCACGAATGAGGGAAAAATGGAGCGTGAGATCGATAGGCGGATAGGTGCAGCGTCTGCAGTGAAGCAGGCGCTGTACAGGTCTGTCGTGGTGAAGAGAGAGCTGAGTCAAAAGGCAAAGCTCTCAATTTACCGATCGATCTAAGTTCCTACCCTCATCTATGGTCACGAGCTTTGGGTTGTGATTGAAAGAATGAGATCTCGGATACAAGCGGCCAAAATGAGTTTTCTCTGCAGGGTGTCTGGGCTCTCCCTTAGAGACAGGGTGAGAAGCTCGATCATCCGGGAGGGACTCAGAGTGGAGTCGCTGCTTCTCCACGTCGAGAGGAGCCAGTTGAGGTGGCTTGGGCATCTGATTAGGATGCCTTCTGGACGCCTCCCTGGTGAGGTGTTCCGGACACGTCCCACCGGAAGGAGGCCCAGAGGAAGACCCAGGACACGCTGGAGGGACTATGTTTCTCGGCTGGCCTGGGAACACCTCGGGATTTCCCCGGTAGAGCTGGCCCAAGTGGCTGGGGAGAGGGAAGTCTGGACCTCCCTACTTAGGCTGCTACCCCCGCGACCCGACCCCGGATAAGCGGAAGAAAATAGATGGATGGATGGATGGATGGTGTATGAAGGAGTCTGTCTGCTGAAAGTGTGGCACTCTCTTCATCATAGATTTGTGGTCAGACGTTGGATGTAGGGATGGAGTGGATACTCTGGCTGAAAGAAACCTGCTCTGTAACGTAAACTGCAGTGGGAGGGTTTTCCCAGGAGCTCTGTGTCTGTGTCTCATACACTATGACAAGTGTGTGGAAAAACATTAATATCCTGCAACCACGTGACCACGAGTTGACTGTTCAGCTTCGAATGGGGTATGCCGGGACCTTAAGACAGGCTATGAGTTTATTTTAGTTTAGTTTGAGTTTAATTTAGGTGAATAGTCCTTGTTTAGCGCTTGTAACACTGGAGGTAAATTAACTGGCATTTGTAAATAAAATGTAAAGCACAGCTCGGTAAGGTGTCTGCACTGATGAAGCTGAACAGTGTCACAGCTATTCTTTTTTTTGTGTTGTTGTTTGTTTGTTTTTCCTTTCTTTTTCTTTTTTATTTATTTTTTATTATTTTCTCCTTTACGTTTGTCTGTTACCACATCACTTTATCATTCTTTTTTCTTCATTACGACCCAACAAACATTTACACACAAGCACACCAAAAAAACTTCCTTTCATCTCAAACCAGCCAGTCAAAGCAGATACCATACCATACCATATCATTTTATTTATAGAGCACTTAAAATAGCTACAAGGCCAACCAAAGTGCTGTACAGGCAGAACAACAGACAACACACGAAGCAATATCCAAAATGACGTAAATCAAAAATATAAAAAAAATAATAAAGACATAAAATCGATGCAGATAAATATGATGACAAACCAGTGTGGATCGTACATGTTCAAAACACAGATCATCTAGTGTTGAAAGCTACTGAATAGTAGTGAGTTTTTAAATGGGATTTGAAAACCAAGAGGGAGGGGGCCTGTCTGACAAACAGAGGTAACTCATTCCAAAGTCTTGTTCCTGCGACAGAGAAGGCCCTGTCACCTCTGCGCTTAAGACGAGTTCCTGGAACTGTGAGGAGCAATTGGGCCGCTGACCTCAGGGAACGTGGTGGGACATACAGTTGTAGCAGATCAGAGAGATGGGGGGGGGGGGGGGGGCCTCAAAACTGTTCAGCGATTTCTAGACATACAGGAGTATTTTGAATTGGATTCTAAGGTGAACTGGTAGCCAGTGCAGTGAGGCCAAAACTGGTGTAATGTGCTCTCTTTTACCTGTACTGGTTAAAAATCGGGCTGCTGCATTCTGGACCAGTTGTAGTCATGCAATGGAGGTCTGACTGATACCAAACAGGAGTGAATTGCAGTAATCAAGCCTAGATGTAATGAATGCATGTATTACTTTCTCCAGGTTATTTTTGGACAATATGGGCTTCAGTTTAGACAGCCGCCTCAGATGGAAGAAACATGAT